TTTTTTTTTTTTTTTTTACAACCCAATACAGGTATAAGTATTTATATTTGTGTACTCGCCAATCCTGAGTATCACAGTGAGGAAAAACACTTAGTTTTACTCCCCTATCGTCAATGGAAGGCTACGTCAGTCGAAACAGGAAACAACAAATCTTCAAACTTCACGTCATCACATGATACACATCACTAAAACTAAGGTTTAAAAATATAAAGATAAATAAGAATCAACCTTTTTGCGTAGCTAACGCAGCTAGCTGTACAGAAAGTGAGCAGAGCTTTTGAGATTGAGAACACTCCTGCTTCCCCGTCTCTTTGTTCAAATATACACCAATGAGACGCCATAGGTACCAGAATGAAGTATCGGGCCGACACAGATACCAGTATTGGTACTGGTGCGACCTTACGTTTTATCACCAACTTGACAAACCCATTCCCTTGTTTGTCGTTTCCTCGCGTCGTACCCTGTGCATCTCGACACAGAAACACACACACACACACACAATCACCTCCGCCCCCGTTTGACGATCGCCTTCTACAGTAGAACGTAATGCCAGTGTTCACAGTTTGCTGTCAGCGCCACAGTCGCGTCTCTTTAATCTCTCCTCTTTGAGCCGGGCTGCTTCTCGTGCTGCCGAGCCACAGAAGGGAGGGAGCCGACTAATTACAATAAACAAATATGCTCAGAGCCGCCTATGTAAGGTTCGCATAGGTTAACAACTCTGCTATAAATGTTAAATGAAGCTTAAAATAGGATGGTATGGCATACAGTTACCATAGCGATCTTGGCCGGGATTCTTCGTGTACTCTGGTTGACAAATTTTAAATTAATTTCCAACACGGGCCTGTGATGCAGAGAAGAAAAATGACGGATTGTTCGGGGCCACAGGGGCCCGTTTGATGTCTGTGTCGTGTTAGGAGCTTTACAACAATTACTGCAACTCTGTGTGTGTGTGTGTGTGTGTGTGTGTGTGTGTCTGATGTCGGGTACTATTGTAAAAATATCTAATAATGGTCAGAATTCAACAATTTTCTCCACGCTAAACTGTCTTTGTTTTCTGTGTCCTCCTTCCTTATTCTGTTTCTACCCCATCTCTCTCTCTCTCTCTCTCTCTCTCTCTCTGTCCCTCTCTCTCTCTCTCTGTCCCTCTCTCTCTCTGTCAACAGGTGGGACAGCCAAAAAGATGCGTAGGAGGTGCAGCGTTGAGTCGTATTGATGGACGTGTTAACAGACAGCAGTCTCACATTGATTGTGAAGACTTCAGAACCAGAAAATGCAAATATATTGGAGACCACAGGTGAAATTATTTAAATTTATTATTAAAATTTAAAAAACATTTGGAAGACATTTAAAAAAATTCCAACATACACATTCCTCAAATATATCACCGAAATATATTTTGAAACTGAAAATATATATATATACACTTTCTCCTCAGGTATGAAAGAGATGTGACTGTAATTTCAAGTTTTAGCATTTTTGACACCTTTCATATTAAAAGCTAAAAAGTTTTTTTGGGGGGGAAACAAATGGAACAACCTCATTTAAATTTCACATGTAATCTTTTGGAGGAAACAACCTCTGTGTTTTTAAATGAAAAGTGTCAGAGTACTTTGAAATGAGCTTTTTAAGCCATTGTAGTCGGCTCCTCACACTATGCTCACACGTCTCAGGAATCATAATTGTGGCGTAAAAAGGAGCCCAGAGTAAAAGCAACGCAGCTTCTAATTCTTGTACAATCAGTCAAGTTAATGAGCGTCTGCAATTAAGGTTTTTATAGACTTGAAATGACAAAATGTGCTTTTTCAAATATACATAAATATTTTTGTCATTTAGTTTAGATATATGTAGCTGCCTACATATATGGAATGATTTATTATTATTATTATTTACAACTACTTACAGTCTTAACATTATTACTAGACAAAATTGTCACTTTGTTGTTGTACATTTTTCTAAATCTGTTCACCCAACCCATACTGCCCCCTACGGTTTACTTCAGATGCCACTGATCCTTAGATGAGGTTTATCTTGGACTTACAGCTCTGGTCAGACTCAGTAGGGACTGACCAGTTCCTACTGTGAGAATCACACAGATTATCCCCAGCAGTAGTCTGCTCCTGGGGAGAGAGAGAGAGAGAGAGAGAGAGAGAGAGAATGACACAGCGAGCGAGAGCAGAGAAGAAGAAATATAGGAAAGGGTGAAAACAGCTCCATTGAGCAGGAACAGGGCAGCTCTCTGAAGAGGATGGCAATGAATCATGCTGCAGTTACTCACCACTTATTATGAACATCCTGTACTGGCTGGATTGATTCCCCCCACCACCATTCACAAAATGTCATATCGTAAAGATGGAGGAAAAAGGTAGCAAAGTGGCTTCTGTGGCTGTGGCTGTGGCCGACCAGCTGTGGATGAGTGAATGCCCCGGGTGGCTGAGCTGCAGAATGGCTAGATCGGCATTTTGCCACTCGGAGTAAGAGCAACGAGGAGCAAGAAAAGTTGGAAGGGAGAGAGACAGTAAACAGAAAAAAAGGAGTTAAAGAGGAGTGTAGACGGGCAAGGGGGGGGGGGGGGGGGGTCTCAGGTGAGTAATATATATTTCAAAAAGCCATTAAAAGGAGCAGAAAGGCCAGGTCAGCTGTTGTCATTTCCACTTAATATTATTGTGATATTTTAAATGTTTAAATCACATGGGAGTTAATGTTTGAATTAGAATCTAATATTTTCTTTTTCTTTGCTTCGTTCTTTGTAATGACCATAATGACATGGAGGAGTAAATATAGATACACAGTAGAGTATGTAATGATGTCAATGTGTAGGTGCATCTGTCACATGTGTGACTCAGCTGACAAATGGTTACGATTTCTTTAATAATTAATCATCTAATTAATCACAGGGTAGCTGTAGATTGATCATGATTAATCTACAGCCTAGTTAACCATGATTAATCGAGATAAATCACGAGGTCAAAACGTCTTCCTGCAGTGTGTGCAAATAACATGTGGACTACAGTAATAATGGGTGTGGAAACAGTGTAATTACAGTATGGGATATACCGTACAGGCTGCGTCATTCTGTCTGGCCATCAAAATTCGTTATATATTTCAACCAGAATAATTTCACTAATTAATAAAAAGTCATTATAAGTCATTAGGCGTTCATTTTGCAATCCCTAATTTTAAGCTAGCGTGGTCACCACGTCAACATTTTAGTTCCACCGTGATAAAAAGGAGGCTTTATGATGCCGAGACAAGAGAAGAAGTCGATCCAATCGGAGAACTTGTCTCAGTGCTCTGTGACCATGTCCCTCTGCGTGGATCGATTGTCCCAGCACAGCCACCTGGCACAGGGCAGCCTGGGCTTACCTCAGGTGGATGCAGTCCTGAATGTCATGGCTGGAAAACAAGAGGGGCATGTGAGCATTCACGGCGCTAACTGGTCCGGTCTGGTCTACTTTGGCTCCGCTCTGACAGTCTAGCATGGCCGGACTTGGCAGAGCTGGGGATCAGCAGATCACCACCACCTGCCAGTAGTTCGGGTCCTTCCATATGTTCAGCGGTAAATGTCCGCGCCAGCTCGCACGAGCCGTGTCGCATCCAGGCTCAGTTTCTATTCCTGGAGCACTTCTCCTGTTATAAAAGCACAACGGTGTCAAAATGATCACAATGCCCCTGAAACCTAGTGTATAAATAGCACATGAGCTTCTCTTGCTGTTAGCGAAGATGAAGTCTGGCACCAGTGAGAATTTTGGATGTTTATCTCGTTCACCTTCGCCGGCTCCGACGCAGTATTAACATCATATCGTAGCGTATCAGTTCATAGGAGGGTTCTGTTCTCCCTTTGACCTTTAATGTCAAACCCAATTTGTCAACTACATTCATTGCTCTATATATTATGGTGTGTGTGTGTACGTGTGTGTGTGTGTGTGTGTTTCCACCTGTCCGACTGACTGATCTGTGGCACATTCTGAACAGCTGAAGAGCTAATGGTCCAGCTGGAGACAGATGGCCTCTCGATAACACTATACCCTCAAGCCAATACTTGCACTCCACACACACACACACCACACATATACACACACACACACACAATACGATAGATTGTTAATCTATGATAAACCCTGAGGAAACACATTTCTCAAAATGAGTTTAATGTTTCAGAGCAATTGTGTGCAATCATCTGGTACGATTAAGTGGCAGCTTGTATTTCATGCAAGAACTAGAAGAAGGTAATTCATCCCCTTCATAATTTCTCTTATTGCTTTATGGTGGGTTTTATGAAAGATAGTAGTGACTTGTCTAGACATCGTTCTTGGTATGATTTCACTAATATGAAAGTTCAAATATCATAGCATAAAGGCCGCACTGTGGTAGAGTGGTTAGTGCTCTTGCCTTACAGCATGAAGGTTACTTTACTCTGTGTACTCATGCAGGATTAGGGTTCATTGTTCACTCCTAATTGACCGTAGGTGTGAACGTAGGTGTGAATCGTTGTCTGTTCCTACATGTAGAACCGATTGGTCATGCCGTAGGTCTCGACATTTTCTCATAGAACCTTGAGATCCGTTTGCATTCACAGCTCTTAATACCCAGCTTTTAATACCCATGTTGAATGCCATTTTAGCCCCTGCCTCTTGGTCTAGTAGCTACCCATTCATTTTGTCTAGTTCACACAAAGTGATAGTGATAGTGTGTCCCTAAAAAGGTGGTGCGAAATGTAGTGCCTAAATAACTGAGTATTTTTCAGGGCACATTTGAAAAACAGGGCTCCTTTGAGATGATAATATATTCCCCACAAGCTAATGATAGGGGCACAAAAGCTAACAGCATCCAGTGTGTTGTGTAGCCACATTTGGCACAAAAACTTGTTTGGAGTACAAAACATATAATGGTCTGACAGGCGTTAGGGACAGTTCTGACCTGTTTTTTGCTTTGCTGCAGACAAAGGAGTAGTAGATTACAGCAGCGAGCAATCTAACAAAAGCTGACAACGTCTGACAAGTTCTTAACACCAGCACATCAGAGACTACGGATGATGAAACGTGCTCTGAAAGGGTGTCCCATTTTGCAGAGGCACATTTTCACCACAACCCACAGTTATGAGTCACCGGGGGTAAAGTGTAGGGGTAAAAAATGTCAAATGGTTATTAGGCCTTAATGTACAAAAGGACGCCTGTCCCACCTCGGCACAAGGAGGAGCGCGTGTTTGCTTTGAGGTCATTCCCACTCAGGCTGATCGGAGCTGATGGCAATTGCCTCGTTGCGTTGACGATGCAGCAACTGACAGATTACTGTTTTTGTTTTAACTAAGAGAAGAAGAGAGAAGATGAATATTTCTCCCGAGGTTTTCTTCGTTAAGAATGACACTAGCAACGTTCCGTCTTTTAGTAGGCGTACCGCTTGCTCCAATGTGTCTGCAGGCCACAAATCCGGAGAGACCCGGCGCTCAGATATTTCATTACCTCGTTAGATGACTCTCATATCGTTGCCATATCCAAACATTTCCTCGCCGCTGAGGCAGCCATGCTGGATGCTGTTTGTGAAGGAGTCGTCTCCCCTGAAGCGTTTATCACTACCTCAATAATGATCACGCACGTGCATTCTAAAACGGGGAGGATGTTGCTAGTTAACCCCTGTGAACATTTTAATTGCTGTGGTGGTATGTGTGTTTTTTTTTATTTAATTTGCTTCTTTTTCTGGCAGGGTTTTAAAGAATATGTGTCAGAGGCAGCAGCTTGGAGTTGCAGCGAGAGGCAGGTGTGGATGATACTGGTTATACAGTCGGCAGCATATGGGCCTGTGTGGTCCCCTGTGCACATACCTGCCTGCTCTGCTGTTATCTAATTATGCAGAGCAAACACAGCTATCTGTCTACTGCTACAGGCCCACTTCTGAGTATTTTGATTGTTGCTCATTAGACTGATGTCTTCAACTGATTAAGACGTCGTCACAATTGACTCGTAGTTTCCTTTCAATTTAGCCATTACTGTTTATGGATGAAGATCTGAGTAATTAGCGCTTTCTTGTTCCGCAAGTGATAAGTTGTTTACAATTTTCCACATCTGCAAAGACTAATAAGACAGTTTAAAGCCATAAAAAGATACAGATTTTTTTTTAAATTTGTATCTAAGTAACCACTAGTTTGAGCAACACAACAATCCACATTAGCTTCATATAATGCAACGTCTAAATATGAAAAACTGAAATCATTTTTATGTATTTTTTGGGATTGTATTTCTGTCATTGACGACATTGGGACTTTTCTCTGCGTATGTCAGTAAATCAAAAACAAAAATATAAACATAATTTTCAGCACTCAAGTCATATTTTCATATTCAAGGTTTTTTTTTATCCGTTAACTTTATCGTGATAAAGTCCTGTCCGTGGTTTAAATGACAATGTCAGACAATAATAAGTTAGCTGTTGTTCCAAAGTTGACACTGTTACTACAGTTTACTAAATACACAATTAAATCAATTCATTCAATTGACCTCATTTGTACTTGAGCCCTACAGAAAAAGTGTAACTGCAAAAATAACACCAAAACATTAGAATTTGACATTTCTCTTGAAAGACCTGCAGGAGCTAAAATCATTTCTTCCTTTTCACAGGGGTATGTGAGCAGAGTAGTGACCTGAGTCTGTGTGGGCTCCTTGACGCTGCTCTTCCTCCATCTTCACCTCGTCCTGCTGCAGAAACTTCACAACAAGCCAGCTCGACACGACCGAGGCCCACGGCTACGTCCCCGTCCCTGCCTCTGCCAATAGGTTCCGACCCTTCTCTGTGCCTGACATCAGCTCCCTGCCATTCTTCTAATGACTCTGCCACTGTAGTCCACGAGCTTCAACACATTCCCTCACCTACATCCCTTCCTGCCCCGGCTGTAAATTCCTGGAGCTCGACAGGAGACACGCAGAAGACTTCTCTCCCTCTAGCCATCGCCCTCCCTCTCTCGGCTACGATGATGGAGCCAAGAACTGTGTCTCCGCTGACGGAGGAGTGTATGCTCCAGCCGTCCCGCACCTGCCTGGGTTGCTTCATTGAAACTCGTGATGCCACAGACTCTAATTCCATTCAGAACCCGCCCCATGACCCTAACGCCAGCACTGATTCAGAGACTGGCCTGAACGTAAGGATAGCAGATGTGAGCCGAGAGGACTTCTCTGACATTAACAGCATCAACATTCAGTGCCTGAGCCATGCAGGGGAGACGGTGAGTACCTACGGAGAACCGCTCCTCTCTGACCAGCTGCTTAACTTCCCTCTGCCCAAAGCTCCAGATGAGGGCAAAAGAGGGGATGGAAACAAAACCTCGGAGGATTGCGATGATCCAGAGGATGATGCAACAACGAAGAACTTGTATGAGGGACTGCTGCTAGACAAGGTGGGCGGAGAGGAGGTTCTGTTGGCAAACGCTGGCCAGGACTGGGGCTACTTTGAGTCCTTTATCAGTGAAAGCAAAATGGAACTGCTTGACCTGTGTTCAAAAAATGAACTGTCAGTCAACCTGTTCTCCGAGGAGGACGTTGACAATCTTTTTGATGATGAAGACGACGACTCCACATTAAGCAGCGACGTCTGTTCTCTGAAGATTCGTTATGAGTCTTTCCAGGACAACATGAGGGAGAAAACAAATGTGCTTCAAGAGGAGACACAGTTCAATTTCTTCCCCAGTGTCCTGGCAAATTGTGCCAAGAAGGAGGAAGGAGTAGGAGTCCTAAGAAGGAACACTGAGGAACTGCAGCCCAAAACTGATGAGCTCATCCTGGAGACGGGGCATGAAGAAAAGGCTGGGGACTGCAGTGAAAGGAGCCCCGCTGACGGCTCCCAATGCTCACCCATGTCTACTCCTAAAGTCAATTACCTATTGGATTTCAATTCTACAGAGGAGTCAGGTGAATTTAGTGATGATAGCTCCTGCACTGGTTCCTCCTCTGACACCCTGCAGGAAGGCAGATTTAAAAAGGGACACTCAAAAAGATTTCTCAGCCCTTCCAACCCACTCAACTATGGTTTGCGCTCCAAGAGAAAGGTTCGATACAATGATGATTACTTGTACGATGTTGACTCACTTGAAAGTGAGAAGAATGCGGAGAAAAAAGAGAAAGCTCCTGCTGGTCAGAAAGAAGAGGAGGATGTAGACTGGTGCCCCAAAAAGCGTCGGAAATCCTGCCGCAAAGAGCCCCCTGTGGTCATCAAGTACATCATCATCAACCGGTTTAAAGGAGAGAGGCTGATGTCAGTGAAACTTGGCAAGGTAGATCCTGTGGATGCTACTGTGAGTTTAGATACAGAGACAGTAAGCAAATATGAGACATTGGCTCCTCTGAAGAATTTTTGGCAGCAGAAGCAAAAAGAGAGACAGGAAAAACTCAAGCTGACTGCCAGAGATAAACAACGCAGTTTTCATTTAAACGGACGCCACCATCGCCCGTTCAACTCTAGTCATCCAAAAAGAAAATACAAGATTGCAAACAGGCTTAAGGTTCAGAGGATTCAAGCTGTGGAACAGTTAGCAACAGCACAGAGCTCATTTCTTTCTGATCAGGGCCTGGGTGGTGTCGCTAAAAACGATGCCACCCCCATGATAGGGGGGGTAATAGTAGCCCCAGCACTCTCAGTCTCATTAGATACAAACTCAATGCTGCACATGGTCACAGCCAAGAGCCGCTCCCAAGAGAGGGAGGAGAGGGAGGGGAGGATATTGGGAGGAAATAAACCGATCAGGATAAGGAAATTTAAAAGTGAAGCCAGGTTGAGAAGCAAGAAAATGAAAGACATAAATGGAGAAGAGAAAAATGGTCTGACAAATGAAAGTGATGCCTGTATTGTAGCAGTGCAGGTTGAAGGTCCAACTGCAGGGTTAGAAGAGGCAGGCAGTAACTCCACAACAGTCAAGCAGCATTTCTCTGATAGCACCACAGCCGTGCGCACATCTGAGGAGAAATTCCCCTTTGTTTCGTCCAACTGCTCGCCTGGCAAAGCTCGTTCGTCAGAGGAAGTGGAGGCGGGTGTCCCTGTCATCCCGGGGGGCTACCTGCAAACCCTCTTAGATGCAACCGACTCCTCTGGTGGAGCAGCTATCCCGTATTTCCCCCAGCAGCCTTCTAGGCAGCAGTATCCTCTAGGGCTATCCCTGGAGGAGAAACAGTTTTCTTCTCTGCAGCTCGCCCAGAGCTGCGTCCTCTCCCCACCCTCTGAGTCTGAACTCCAGCAGTCTCCCCAGAACTGCCCCAGCTTCCCCCAGATGTGGCACCCACAGCTCTGTGCAAGTCACAGCCAGAGCTTTGGGCCAGAGACCCCTGAGACTCCAATCTTACCCAACAACTTCCCAGGCACCGTACCCCTGAACGACAACCTGCCAGTGTCTAACTACAGCCAGCTGAGCCCTGCGGGCGACAGGCTACTTTATGAGAAGAGCTACCTGAATGAGGCAGGGCTGCAGCCTGGGGCGGATCTGCAAGTGTGCCAGGCTGCCTGTGTGGACGGCCAGGTGCAATACCAGCGAGGGTCCCTCTGCACAGACAATGGCAGGCTCATCAGCTATGACTCAGTGGGCTCTCTGTCAGCGTCCTCCAGCAATTACAGCTCCCTTAGCCTTAAGTCCTGTGAGCGAGAGGGTGAGGAGGAAGGCCGAGACAGTTTCTTGGCTCATTGCAGTCCAAAGGTGGTGATTCAGCAGAGTGTGGATGCCCTCACTCCACTCAGAGAGTCCTCAGACCTGCTGGACATCTCCAACTTCACCCCTGACAAGTTTAGGCACTCGTCACTGTCGGAGCTGTCCCCACCCGAGACCCCTAACCTGTCCCCACAGGTGGTGGGACGGGAGATTAAGATGGCAGGGAATGTAGGAGAATTCCAGGATGTGAATGATATAACTTTAGACTGCAATAGGGACGCCAAGTGGAACTGTGACGTTATGCAGCAACAAGAGCACACAGGCAACACATTCACAGGTGAAGACAGTCAGTTCCCACTGCACAACTTTAACAATCGTTTAGACAAGAAGGAGCTGGGAGTTACAGAGTTTGACGAACAGACTGGTGAGGTGTTGGCGGCTGGAAAAGGCATCAAATCAAAGCGAAAAGTCAATTGCAAACAAAATGCTGCTGCACAGAGCCCAAAGAAAGTCCGGGCTCCCCGAGCTCCCAAGTCGGAAAAGGTCAAGACCCCGAAACAGAACTCTCGTTCCACGAAAAAGATTAAGGCTATGTTAGAGGGTAAGGCAGCAAAGAATCAGGCCGGTGCTAACGGCACAGGCCTGGCTGACGGTGGCAGCACTGGGGACTGGTCTGCCACTGGCTGGTCAGAGAGCAACAACCTGGTGGGGGACGACCAGAGAGAATTCGAGGAGCCCTCCAATATTCTGTCCAACATTGTGTCTGGCATGGCTGAAGTCCAAAGGTTCATGATGGCCTCCATTGAGCCACTGTGGAATCCCATGTCGGAGGCCTGCATGCCCTCAGAGGCTAATAGCCTCAATCTAAAGACTCTCAAAATCTTGGCAGGCACCGAGGCTGACCTAAAGAAAAAAGGAGCCATGCTATCAGGGGCAGGGAGAGGCCGGAAGGCTGGAGGGAAAGGAGGGAAAAACCAGGCCAAATTCAACCCATCGCATCCCCTATTCCCGCAACTTGCACTGGGCTGCAACATGTTTGATAAACCCAACTTTATAAACCCCGGGCCTGCGCACAAAAAGCTCTACCGTCACAAGACCAGTGCAAAGTTCCCTCGGATTGAGACACTGAAGGGGAAGCGAGGTGAGAGAGACCAAAATAAGGACATAGCACTGATGACCTCTTTTGAGAAACTGAGGTAATATTTTGTTATCAGCTGCTGTTGCAACCCTTCTCACCCCCCCCACTAACTGCTCAGCCCCCCCACCCCCAAAGCATACCTACACTGACGCTATGCCAGAGCTGCATGAATACTACGCCCCTCCTCCCCCCGACTACTCCCTGTTCCTTTTAACCCCCTGAAGAGGAAATTAATATCTGCATGAAAAACTTCTTGTACTTTGCAAACTACCTATTGAGTGATTGTGTCAAGCTTGATTGAGATTTGAAATGACCATGGCTGCATTTTTCTTGCTTTTATTGTTTCTGCTTTGTTTGTTCTTCTTATAGTCGTTTTTCTGTTGTTGTTTTTTTTTTTGTTGGTTTTGTTTGAATTTTGTCTGAAAAGAAAAAAAAAGAGAACAAGCCTTGAAAACAGTTCTGTCGCCTTTTTGAGGAATTTTGTTTTTGTATTTTCCCAGCAGAACTAGCACCCTCTGAATTATGTATTTACTCCCCCCTTTTCCCTAAAGATGTAGCTATATACACAAATGCATTGAGTGACACCTGCGCACCCCCTCCTCATCTGTTTTTGTATGCAGAATATGGATGTCCTGTTGTTGCTGTACTTCATACACTGCCTGGCTCATTTTGAGAGGGAAGCCTTCAGTTAATGAGCTCTGTTGAAGCCCAAGACATCTTGAAAACACAAGATGGGACCATTTTGTATTGACCACATATCAGACAATGTCCTTTTTCCCCCTTTCGGAGTTGGAATGATTTACTTTTGTCGAGCATTTCTTCTTTCTTTTTCTTTTTTCTGGTGGAGGTGAGAAGAACTGGTTACCCTAAATTTACATTTTTACGCCTTGCAAATTCATAAAAGCTCCACCCTCAGAGTATTTTTGTCAATGTTGTTGTACAGGGACATGCAATATTTGCTAAAAAAAAAAAGAAAAAAAGGAAAAATGAAGATGATTATAATCTTAAAATCAATGTGCCAAAAGTAACAATGCTGTGTAAATGACCTCTTATATATGTGTGAATATTGGCTGTTCCTCTTTTCTATCCATTGGAATATTGGCTGCTCGGACCGGAGACTCCACACAGAGACTCGCCACTACAGGAATTGTTTATTTGGGACTTTTCTCTCTCCTCCGATTAAAGGCACCGACAGCTGGCAGTGGTACACCACCACTCACTAAACCAAATCAGAAAGACTTTGAAGTCTCCTCGTTTCCCCCACTTTGTTTGCCAAATTCAATTTACCTCAACATCACCTGGCACTGAGAAGCAACAAAAAAAGAGGAAGAAGGGAGAAGTGCTTGTAAGGCTACAGTAGAGGGAGAAGAAGGGAGGGAAAAAAAAGAGAGAGAGAGAGATGTTCTAAAGAGCTTTCTCTGGACCAAGGAGAGTGTAGTGCAGATGTTCGTGGGTAAGCGATGATTATTTGTCATTTATCGGAGGCTGTGCCTCTCTGAATAACTGTTTTGTACTGGAAACTCAAGGTGGTTCATTACTCATTTAGACTCTGATGCACGCCTCAGTCGTGAATGGATATTACATTTCTGCAGTTAGATTAAATGTGAATGTGAAAGCAGTTTTCGGTACAAATGGAAGCAGTAATCTTGTAAATGAAGGAAAGCATGTCTTTGCATTAGCTCAGCGTACATCTATCCTACCTGGAATTTTAACAGTAATGTTTTGACATCACATCTCATTCGTATCCCAACACTGCCATACTAATACGTCCCTCCGCCGCTGCGTTCCATCTGTGATTAGTTTGTGTCATTTTTCATACAATGTCAATTTTTTTTACAGTGCTTTCCTGTCAAATCATTCCATCTGCGTTTAACCAGACAGTATTTAACTGGCCAGTGTTTGTTTTTGTTTTTTTTGCAGACAATATTGTCAAAATTAAGGGCATGAGGGTATTGTTTTTAATATTAAAACAACATCATGACAATATATATTCATTCTATGTCCTGGCCATTAATATTAATAGTACTATGGGCTCATTCATTGTCTCACTGCTCTTTAATAAACCCATTTGAAATGGGCCTTACAATCATATTCAATCTCCAAGTGAAAAAAAGAAAGAAAATATATTAGTAGTCTACAATAAAACATTATCGTATAAATAAAAATGATAATAATGATAGTAATACTCATTATTAATTATTTATATATGTTTTATTATGACCATGTAGTGAGCACATTGCAGGAGAAATTCAGGGCCTCCCCCAGCAGTAACAAGTAAATACTCAGATGGTAGACCAATATTTTTTCTCTTGAAGGTAACAAATAGTACTTGTCAGACACGACAGGATACTGCATGGAGATACTGTATGTAAAGGCATAGCTTCATTTTGAAACGGGCCACGTCCCATTAAACATAGTTAATTCCGACATGCGAGTAATAGCAATTGATTGCCTGCATAGGGTATTGTTCATAATCAATCTTTCTCTGTGTCTTCTTTCTCTCCACTCTCCCATGATTCTTTGTTTGTTTTTGATTTTTTTTCTGTCTCCAGTGTATCAGGGTTAGGACCTAGACAAGCTGCTGATGGGAAGCTCCACATGGGCCACAAGCCCATTTAGTCTGCCTTCTCTCATTTCTGCCTATTGTCAAATTGAATGTACTTCTTTAAGTTGGTGTATTTTTTTTTCTTCCTTTTCTTTATCAAAATGTGCCACTGTTGAGCTGCCTCATGTTAATGGTGCTAAGAAAGCCGACAATTCGTTATCTTTGATTTCGTTCTTATCTTTTCTTTGAAGGTGTTTTTTTTTCATTTTTTCCTTCTTTTTGTTTGTTTTCCCAGAATTAACAAAAAAGAAATGCAAAATAGATTAGGTACCTAACCCTCTTTATGAATGTATATTATGACGTTACGTTTGATGTATTCACTTCATGATTCTTTGACAATGATTGGATTTACTTTTGCTCTTTTCATTAAAAGATTACCGAGCTTTATATATACTGTCTAGAGTTGTTACCAGAAGGAATCTTAATGAACTCTTGACACTACAAAATCTTGTATATTTTTTGTGTGCCAATTTGTAACATATTTTGTAAGTGTATATTTTTCTTAGAAAGTGCTGTGAAGTATTTGTGTGTGTGTGAGTAACCTTTTATGCGCCTCCGTGGGCAGTGGAAAGGATATACAATGACAAGTTTCTGGTTTTAAAAACCAAAATATGAAAGTATCAACAGAAAACTAGAAATATTTACATTTTGTTGGGAGTTTTGTAATAAGACCATGATCTTGTTGTGGGAGTGTTGTGTTACTGTGCAAAACACAAATAAGCAAAGAAAAACAAATGAAAACTTGGAAAAAAAATATAATTTGTGAACATTTTGCTGTTTTATAGATTTTCATGTAAATTATTTGAGTATTATTTTGGTTTTTGTTTTGTTGTAACTGTTGCAAAGGTTTTAAATATTTGTGATCAAGCCTGTATGGTGATAATGTAATATTGGTAACTTGCTGAGTTTTGTAATAATGTTTATGGAGTAAATATACAAATTAAAATAAGATTTTGAATGCTGCTTTCTGAAGAGCGTTGGGTTGTGTTTTTTAACCTTTTGTAGTAAATACAGGATGAAACAGGGAAGTTAGAAATGTATTAAAAAAATACCCAAAGGCTGCCAGCTTATCTTTTGTGACTCTAAATAAGTAGCAAACAAATTGACTGCTTTCGGACAATACCAACTAGTCCATAACAAATCTTTTTTATCTTTAATCTTAGTTATTTCCAATGTCCTACCACATGGAAAAGGGGAATCTTAATAGCTTTTAGCAACGATACAGGGCCAGAAGAATAATGAAAAATCAGTACATTAAAAAAATAAATAAAAGTAAGATAAAAAATAAATAAAAAAACAAGTTAAATAAATGACACAACGTCACAGTAGTTTGATCAAGGCATTAGCTAAGTAATGTTAGCCACAAACTAGCTAACATCTAGTAAATCTAAAACAGATGTTGGCAAAATGTATTGAAAAGATCTTTTTTTTATTAGTAGAAATTGTATTTTATGCCTTATTTGTTTGCAGAAACCCAATGAAAATATTATGCTTTTTTGAGTGTACACTCACCATATTTAAAAATAAGATGGAAAACATGCTAGTTTCTGAAAATGTTGAACACAGCTGATATAAAGTATTTTTCATTTTGCATCATTGTGTACAAAATTGAATTCTTCCTAAAATTATAATGACGAAAAAGACAAAAACAATACATGATTAACATTCCCACCAAGTAAACAGAGATCGTTGTGTATTGGTGAACCTCCCACCATCCTCCACTTCCACAACAGTAATCATAATATGAGCAAATATGATCTGATGCTCACTGGCTGCTGTGTGTGTATAAATGCACACAGATACAACCTTAACAAGTCTAATTAGTGTGTCCACGTTTAAGACTAGTAGACGAAAGACATTTTAGTTTCTGCTTCAGTCCAGCTTTGGCTCATGTTATTTTAATGTCATATCTAATTAGCTCTCAGAGCCAGGCATTGCTGGAGTGACTGCTCATCCATAACTCTGGGCTTGGCTGCAGCAGCCCACACTGAAACGCACTCCAGAATGCTTAATTGGAGCTGCAGATACTGTCTCAGACCATAAACACAACCTGTGATGTATGCCTCCAAAATTGTCAGGTGGTATTAGCTTTGTTTTTGTTCTTTAGTCACCCATAACTGATAAAGGAGCAAGCCAACCATAAGAAGAAACGCCAAATGCGGTGGATGAGCACCTGTGGTTTTATTTGTTCTCAGTTGTTTTATTGGTGCATCGTCGTGTCGCGTACAGTCGAGGGTGAGGTTTTTATAGAAGTTTTTTATTGTTAGTTTCCGCCATGATTTTCTATAATATTGTTAGTTTACACTGTGTATTTCTGGCAAATTTCTGTTGGTCTCAGATTTGTTTCCAGAGCCTTTGACTTATTAGTTTATTAATTGACATATTTGATTGTGATTTTTTTTAATGAAAACACAAAATTGTGGGTGATGAATAATATAATATTATGTAGATTATATGTAAATATACTACTCCTATAGTCTAATCATCTGTATCTATATTCTGTTAGTCATTCTTCAATACTTTTTATGTATATTTAGTACTTCTATATGGCTATTGAGAGACTTGTTTTATCATTCCAAGCATGTACTGGCCAACAAATGCTCACCCCAATTAAATATTAATGCAGCAATAACAAAATGGGATACTCTCAAATTTTAATAAAACATTTTGTGACTAATTTTGGGCCATTTTTCATGGGTTTCTATAGACCCAGGAGGCTGGAATATGCAGCCCACAGATAAAGATTTAGGGTATGTTAGTCATTTAAGGATACAGACGTTGACAAATGATGGACGTCCGTGATGCCGTCAGCATATCTGTAAAGACAGGCGTACCTTTACATTTGCCACCACGGTGTGGCGCTATGGCTTAGCCACGACATGTCCAAAGCAAATATCCTGTTTTTCTCGAGCTTCTCTCAGCACAAGTGCGGAATTTTTCTGCCCTGAGCTGTGTCTGTCAGGATTAATTACCTTCTGCTACACCGCAAACGGCAGCTTGTATCAGTAAATATCGAATTATTATTATTATTATTATTATTATTGTTGTTGTTGTTGTTGTTGTTGTTGTCGTCGTCGTTGTTATCATTATTATATCAAAAAGCACCTTATTGAGAGTGTACTAATATGTTTGAATAAGCCAGGAAGACAATTCCGTTGCATTTACAATTACAATTGTACCATATTCATCTCTTTGGTTTGTCAGTGACTAGAGTCCACGTGTTTTAGAATCCACATGGATATATCCTGTATATCCTCTTTGCTGTTTTTACAAGGACGTGAGCAGTGTTAGGAATGCGATTTTTAATGTGTTTATTTTTCATATTTAATTTTTTTTCTTATCATTTTCTAGAAAAAACAAACAAACAAAAAAATGTATATGAGCTTGATATGAGCTTGGTTGTATATGATCATTGCCAACGCCTGCTTGTTTTTGCCTGACAGACCAAATTCGGGGAATTGTGTGTGGACCCGGTCAGTTTCCGGAATATCACAGTAACCCCTTCTTAAAAGAAAGAAAATGGAATCCTGAGATCGCACTTAGCTTAACAATCAAACGATTTTAGAGTGTATTTAAACAATTACTGAGCTAAACGATACCATTAATTGCTAGTGACACCATTGAAAAGGTAACGTCCGAGTGATTTGTTGACAGATATGTTGTCTCTTTATTCGTCGGCATTTGCTACAAGCAGCTAGTTTAGCTGTTCTGCTGAGGTTCTTGGTGGTTGTAACGTCATTCACTGACGTACTCTGTTAGCTTGCGGTAAAGCGTATAGTAAGTCGTATATAATAATGTCAGTCTATCGATTTATATGTGGTTTTCATGAACACCTGTTACTGTTGGCCTTTGATAAACATTCTTCTCACTCTAACATATGAGTGCTCATAAACAGAATAATGTCTGCAGTGGAGCTAGCTGCTAGCCTGCAATTGAAGTCAATGTATTTAGCCTATCGGCTAGCGGAGATGCTAATTGACATATAACAGTGACGTATACATGTTTATAATGGAACTTTTATCATATCCCGTACACATCAGGCTGCGGTCTTCGATTGTGTTTCGAACTACCACAAACACGCCGTTACATTGTTGTTGGTTATTGTTAAAAAGCGGCTTGACGGGTTAGCATTTATGAACAATGCTAATAGCTAGCTAAACTAAGTGTAGCTGGATGATGCCATTTTGTATGTAGCCTACTTTGGCCATATTTTTGCCTATGAGGTTAAAATTCATAATGCTACTACAGACTGAAATTTGTTGTAGATACAGACCAGTAGTATTTTATTTAATATCATTTAATGTGAACAGTGGCTAATTTAGCGTAAACAACAGCTTGTCTGTTCACTTTGTTGGCAGTGACGTGAAACCAGTTTCCCTTGACAACCGGGCTGATGTTTCTGCCTTACACTTGAAAGTATTGTTTTGTTTTGCTGGTTTGAAAACTTGGTCACAATTGACTGCTAAACACGTATGTCTGTTAACATTATTTACAGAACCTGCATAGGTCTACAGTACACAAAACGTTTTGCCTCCTTTGTTTGCCAAGTTAAGCTTTATATAGCAAACAAGTTCAACACTTTATTTCTGTACTTAGGTTTTTACTCCTAGTGTCACCTTCCACATTTTTAACTTGGGTTTTTGACACACCAAATGTTTTGGTACATCTTTTTTAATGCATTTATTATTATTGCCACAATAATTTAAAAGTGTTAGCTCTTTATATAAGTGTAGGTGTTCAGGATATTGTTCCATAAAGTACAATAATGTATGTTTTCCAAAAAGAACTTTTGATTTAAACATTTCTTGCTTTGTATAAAAGCACCAAAAATGTTATGTTCCTAGGGATCTAATAGTTGTTGTTTTTTCAACTCCTTTTAACCTTTTTCTTGCTATAGATCTTGGGTTTTGCTGAGGTTTGAAGAGTGTCCCCAGTCCCCTCCCCTTCTATATCAATGGACGGGTCTGACAGTATGGAGCAGAGTGGCAGTGAACAACCGGAGTCTCAGCGGCGAAGGCAGCGAGACCGCCTAGATAGGGAGGAAGCCTTTTACCAGTTTGTCAACAATCTCAGTGATGAAGACTACCGTCTCATGAGGGACAACAATCTCTTGGGGACCCCAGGTAATAAACGTTTAACTGGGACTTTTTTTTATAAAGGGGAAATCACAATGTTTTAAAAGTCTAAACAATTTTACTGTAACACTGTTTTGGACCATACAAAGGCTCATTCACTTTTAAAACTCTCAGAATTTACAATTTTCTTTTCATTTCTGGCCACTGTGTTGATTAAAACCTAAATCTAATAATATTTCCACTCACTGTAACCTCCACATTAAAAACTCTTGTGATTATATCTTTTTGTTTTCTTATTACAGGCAAACAACCAAAACCACAATTTTTTCTCGAAACCTAATTTGCATAGGATAAATCATAATCTTAATCATAATTGTTGGCGCCAGTGTCCCAGACCTGAAAAATTGTTTTCTGGTATGTTTTTGCAAACTTAAAATATTTAGATTATTAATATCTGTGTTTTGTGAAGTACTTGTTTAAAAACACTTCCTTTCATTATCTCAACAAATTTCCTTAATGTTCAGTAAAATAAAACATTATTTTCATATACATTACCAACCTATGGACTACTGAAAAAGGTCAATCCGTTTCTGTCCCAGGACTGTGGGAAAGTAAGTTTGGAACGACCTTTAGTGGAGCACCCTGCAAGGAGAGGGCATTGACTGGAGAATGGCATGCCCTGGTAAGTCTGGTGGTTTTCAATATTGTCCTGTTGATGTGCTTGAACACAACATAACAGGTCTATGGGTCAGCTGATTTTCTTTTAACGTTTTGGACATATGTACCTCCAATATAGTATTTTTGTTTCCAGTCTTGAAAAGAGAAACACATTTTTTTATTATCAAGGAAGGAATGTATGAAATTCCAAATGTTAGTTTCTTGTCTCCTTATTAGAATCTCTGGTTTTTTGTTTCTTTCAGGAGAGGTAACGGCAGATGAGTTGTTCAGTAGACTTCAGCAAATCAAAGATGGCCCAGAGCAGCAGAATATCACTCCTAGTACTGAGAATGGAGAAGAGCCAGTTGGTAAGTGTGCTTACAAATGTCTTTATTTTGTCTCTCTGTCATTTCACATTTTGTGATATAAACAGTTATTTTCTTTTAAGTTTCAGTGCAACCAGAAAACTCGGAAGAACCTCCCAGTGGTGATAGTCTCCTAGACTGGCTGAACACAGTGAGGCGCACAGGCAACACAACAAGAACTGGACATCGTGGAAACCAGTCATGGCGAGCAGTGAGCCAGACAAACCCGAACAGTGGTGATTTTCGCTTCAGCCTTGAAATCAGTGTGAACCGTAATGGGACAGAACAGCAGGCAGCTGCTGAAGGGTCACAGGAGTCTCCAGATGCCCCAGAAGTTGCTGCAGACCCTGAAGTACAGGCTCCTGTGGAAACAGAGGTGGTGGAAGAACCAGTGGTGGAGGAGTTGGCTGTCATAGTGGAAACGGAGCCTGAACTAGAAGAAGTTGTTTCTCAGGAGATTTTAGAAGAATCTCCTAGATCTCCTGCTGTAGTGGCAGTAGAACCACCCATCTCGCCTTCTCCACGCAGAGGACAACGAAGACCCAGAAGTCGTAGTCCAGAACCTCGCAGGACTCGAGCACGTACAGCCAGGAGCCGCTCCCCTCTCAGCTTGGATCAACTGGATGGACTTTCCAGTTCCCGCCAGACTCACAATCCACCAGGTTTGAACTCTGCCACCAGTTCTCCTCCTGTACCTCAAGTAGAGGGCAGTTCAAGGACTCGACAGCATGTTCTTTCCAGACAAAGTACGTCTGACGCTGATGTTCAGCCCCCGAGAACAGTTTCGGAACCGGTTCCTGAGGTGCAAAACACTGAATCTCAAGAAAGCGAAGCTGGTAATGAAGACGATGGTGCTGGAGGACGTCGTCCTCCAACTATTATGTTTGACCTCCAGGTGCGCCGTGTGCATCCAGGTGAATATTGGCAAAGAGACAGCATAGCCAGTCGCACCCGTTCACGCTCCCAAAATTCAAACAACACCTTTCTTTATGAGAGTGAGCGAGGTGGACTTCGTAGAACATTTTCGCGCTCTGAGCGTGCGGGTGTGAGGACCTATGTCAGCACTATTCGTATCCCTATCCGAAGAATCTCAGATGCAGGCTTAGGAGAGGCAACCTCAATTGCTCTCCAGTCTATGATTAGACAGATTATGACTGGGTTTGGTGAACTTGGCTACCTCATGGACACGCACTCGGATTCTACAGATTCAAACCGTGCAACTAACACACCTGCCGATCTGGGAGAGGCACTTAACAGCCCAGATGTAGTTACCAGTGCTGCTGCTCCTGCTGCTGCTCCTGTTGCAGAGGTTGATGAATTACCTGCAGCTGCTGCAGAAGGAGCAAGGACAGTTGAGACTGATTCGGTTGAGGGCCTGGCCACTGGTCAACCTGCCTCTGGGGGCAGGGCTCGACCTCGACCACCCATCACCCTTGAAGAGCCCAGCTCATTGCCCTTCCTGCGCCTTGCCCACTTTTTCCTCTTAAATGATGATGATGAGGACCAGCCCCAGGGGCTCACTAAAGAGCAGATTGATAACCTCTCCATGCGCAACTTTGGGGAGAATGATGCATTAAAAACTTGCAGCGTCTGCATAACAGAGTATGCAGAAGGTAACAAGCTACGTAAGCTACCTTGCTCTCACGAGTACCACGTGCATTGCATCGATCGCTGGCTGTCTGAGAACTCTACATGCCCGATCTGCCGCAGGGCTGTCTTGGTGTCAGCCAATCGTGAAAGTGTGGTGTAGCTATATACAGACTGCAGAACCCTTTGTCTCTCTTTAAATAATCCTGTATCCCCAGATGCTTTCGAGAAAAACGTGTCAGCTCAGCTGAAATGCATTTCTTTCATCCCACGAGTGTCACATTATAGTTACAGAAGTGAGAAGTTCCACACAATAAAATCTGGATGTGTCCCTTGATTTCAACATGTAGCTCTATTGTCAGAGGTCTCTGTTCATATTAACAAGTAAGAGGGATCAAACATAGTGGGTGGGAGTATGTGTTTGAGTAACGCTATCCTCTACATGTTTTCAGAATATTACTGCAAGTTAACCCCATTAAAAACACTTTTTTATTTAATAGTATAAAACTAGACATTTACATATCTGTTTTACTTTCTGTTGTGGTCCATACTAACTGATTGCAGAACCCTTGTGCATCAGCTCTGTTTGATTATGTTTTTTATATAACAGTAGTACTTGTAGACCTCTTACAGCAGAGATGCACCTTGAAATCAACCCCACAGCTCCTTTTATTGCTGTCCAAAGTTAGACAAAAGCATTGCATGCTGTTTGTATAAACCTGTAAACACCAGGCAGTTTTTTGCACTGAGCCAAATCATGTACACAACAAAAATTGTGCCCACCTGCCGGTAGTTCAGGCACTTCAAATTTGTATTAGCTCCTTAACGGGGCCTTTCTATACATATATCACAATATGGGTATTGGTACAATATGTTAGTTCAACATTTCAAAGTATTGGCTGTAAATAAGCTTGTAAAGATATAAACAAATAATACTTTGTATAATTGAATTGGCTTTGAATTGTAAACAATCCGGATAGCGTTGCCCTTAGTTACTTTTAAAAATAGGCTATTTCTGTGTACACATCAGAGTTATTTAGCAATTGTTATGTCTAAAGGTTGATAGAAACTAATTGGTTTACCATTAAAAATGTGACTTGTACTCCCTTATTTATCATCTGAAAAAAAACAACACGTAAATAATAACTTTATTTGGCATTTTTCACATGAATTGTCACTGTGTGCTTAGTTCTTTAAACAAAATGATGCCATATGATTACAAAAAAGAGAGACACGCTCGACTTTGTTACTTTTGGAGTAACACACAAGTATCATCAAAACAATTGAGATGTATTTGTATCAAATTTGTAATTTATGTCGATCTTGTTTTTAGCTTGATGGAGAGGCTGGCATGCAAATGATCCCCATCTCAAAGTGATCCTAACAGGCATGACATTTTAAGAACTGAAATGTGTTGGTTTTGCTTTTATTTGCACACCTTTTTTGAAATCATTTTATGCAGGCATCCATGAAGGCTACTACAGAAAAGTCCATATGATGATTACAAATCTAAATAGCTTTGCTGGGATGTGATGACATGTAGACATGCCCTGTCACCAGTTCTCAGTGAATGCAGATGATAATGATTTATTCAACAGTACATTTAAACTGACATGACTTCCTTTGTTTGGAGAAAAAAAGTCCTTAGTTTTTCTGTTGGACAGTACGCTTGGCTAACGCAGTGTGCAATACATGCATAATGAAAATAGTAGGTGAACAACCATGGTATAAATGTGTGCTATTCTTGAAGCAAGTGTAAACAACTCAAAATAGGACTAATTATATTTTAAAACGTGTTGAAGTTTCATGTTGTTTTATGAAGACATTCTGTTGGTTTTGTTTTTTTTTTTATAGCTCTGTTGCTGAACAGAAACACTGGCAGAAGGAAGAGAAGTGCAGCATCATTATGCCGCCCCGTCATGTTTCTCGTTTCACTGTTTGATGTTTATACCACAATAAATGCAAGAAGTTGTCATTGTTGAAAGCTATAAATATGTAAAATACATGTACGTTCCTTCACAGGCCTCGCTTTAGACCTGGTCATGTTCTGTGACACACCCAGTCAAGTATGTTTACCTGGGTGTCAGACACAGCTAACTGTTGAATTAAAACATATAATACTGCAATATTCTGCCATTTATTTTGTACTCTACTCTTTTAGTTACTAACATTAAGGACCCCTCGCAAGAATGGAGGCACTCTTCTGATTGCTAAGGGCAAAGGGAAGAATTAAGTCTTATCAAAGTCAAAGTATTTTAATCACTTGATTGTCTTTATTTAAAATGTCATGTCTTTGTCCACAGCCTGTGATGCCAGTTTTGTCAATTCCAACTCCAGTTTGGCAGACATAAACAGAAAAAGCAGCGAAGGACCCGTGGGTGAATGTCACATCACATGTAGTGACACATTATGGACAGATTGTTCAAGTGTCAGCTGTACAACTAAGAAGTGAGCACTTAAACACTTGAAAAATATTAAAGTGTCAGCTGTACAACTAAGAAGTGAACACTTGAAAAGTATTGTGTTGTTTTTGTAATGTATTATGCTGATGCTTGTGGATACTATCACCTGTTTAAAAATCATGACTAGTTAGGTCAATGTCATTCAGTGAGCCGGTCAATGTCATTCAGTGAGCCACTCAATAGTCTGCGGTGTCGGCTGTCAAAACACTTTTTCAGTCAAAGACAGATCTAGACTCTGGGCAGGGCAATCGAGGGCACACTCTGTCTGCAGAGCCTGAGGAATTTTAATCAGTGCAGAATGAAGTTTGTCATTGCTCTGTTTAAAAGGATCTCTTGACTGGAGTGTGTGCTTTAAACACCAATATATGCTCATGACATCAATGGCACCTTCACTTGTTATTTTAAAAATGTGTATATATATATATTTAACATTTATAACTGTACTGGATTTTTTGTTAACGCCTGTTTTTTTTTACACAACATCAAAACCCAGTTCCTTTTAAAATGCTAAATATCTGTCTGACTTTTTGCATCTGGTAGTACTGTTTGAAGTATATTGCAAGCAGGTGCTAAGGTTTACCAAAAACATTTAAACAAAAAGTCAGCGAAAACACCATAAATATTTTTTGTGCTCTGCCTGTTTTTTATTTTATTTTGTTTGCCCCGTTTTGCCTCTTTTCAACTAAACTCCTATTAACAGGTATTAATTAAGATATATGATGTCAGTGATGTCATTTTTATGCATACCTAAAATGCAACATCGCTGTGTTTCTGTTGCAATAAGAAGAGCCTCAGTCTATGGCAACAGAATGGGAACATTTTCAGAAGTCTGTGTTTAAACCTCAGCTATCTTTGTCATTCAATCACTATCACCAAGCAAGACGGAACAACAAAGCTGAACAACAGTGACATTCCCATGTGGGAAGACAGTGCATCTTTAAAACTCAGGCAGCGGTTGGATTTTCTTTTCATGTCTACCTATAGTTGGATCCTTTTCTTTTTAACATCACATGCAAAATTTTCTTGGATGAGGAAGCTCCTCACAGTTTTTGAGAATATTGTCAAAAAGGTTGTTTTTTTCCTCTCTGCATGAAAGGGCAGATTGTAGAAACACATTTGAAAAGGGTACGAGGCAGAAGCCCAGGCCTCCACATGCAGTAATATAATTTAATTAACACCTCTGTGGCAATTTCAAACACCTGACCTTGAGAGCGTCTTGAAAGAGGCTCAGCAGCAGGAAAAAGAACGACTCATCTGTAAGATGTTGTCGGGCTGTGAACGCTTTGACTTCAAAGTATAAAAAGGTAAGACAGTTCTGAGAAATTGGTGCAGTTTCTAAAGGTCCAAAGATTCACTGTCCAACTTGTCTCTGTTATGTGTCTGTCTTTGCCCAACCCTCCTTAAATAGCCACAGGTGCAAGAAGACAAATGAGTAGAACACAGGAACTACTGCTTGAACAACAGACCTTTGGGCTGGGAGGCACCAGTACTAACCACATGGACACCATGCAGCTCAACTGCAAAGTATGGTGCAGTTTAATTAATTTACGTTAAGCATTTGCATTGCACTGAAGTACTTTAAAATATTTTGTTAGAGTTTTTGGTTGAAAAAGACATTCTAGTACAGTGACTGGTTTTACTGAATTGGAGTTAATGGGAAATAGTTTCAAAATAATTTTTACAATTATTCACGTTTCTTGACTAGAGTATGTTCAGGGTAAAATAACACGAATTGTTGTATTACACAGTTCACAGCTGAAAACCCCAAACCCGGAAGAGTAGGCCTCAAACCACGGTGATGATGGCGCTCAGGACGGTGGTCAACCGTCTGTCTCTGGTACAGAGAAGTTGTCTACAGGTATGTCTCACCTGCTCATTTAAAAATCATTATCTCTGTCCCTCTTGTAATTTCTTAGGACATAATTAAGAAACGGAAAGTGGCGAAACAGCGTAAAAAAGCGTCTTCAGTTTAATTTATATTTGTCTTTAAAACGTTCAGAAATAACTAGTGTTGCCAGGTCTCGCGATAGTCACAAGCAACGAGTTCCACAAAAGAAACCGCAAAGAAGCGACACAGCTTCTACCACTCATGCAACGTTATAACAAAAGATAGAGGGGCCAATTTAGTTTCATATTAATACAAAAAAATGCATAATTAATTAATGGTTTATTTATTATAATATCTTATGTTTTCCTGCCATGAGAGGGCAATATATTGGTTTCAATGACCAAGAAGGCTAATCAACCGACAGAGAACTACTAGCCAATCAGAGCACGTCCTGCTGCTTTTGACGGGAGCTGCGACAGGACAAACTAGATCTTTTATTTACAGACATTCCAAATTCCGAAACGAGCAACAGTACGTTGAAAAACAGTCTCCTAAATATTCTATTTTCAAAGCGATTTCAGAGACAACCCCATAGAAGCCAATAAAAACTGACACTGGCGTGTAGCTCAAGGATAAAAAAATAAATAAATAATAAAAAATCTCATCTCATTTATTCCACGATGCCTGAACTTGGCCATCTTTACCACACAGCGGCGCTAGTGATGCGGAATATAATATAAAATCTCCACCCTCAAAAGCGTCCTTGGCTAAATTATGACTTCGTCATAAGTCGTACACAAAGCAATGTCATGCATAGCGGATAAATATTATTTTATACTCCACTAAGAAAAGTAAACAAATATTTAAAACCTTTATCTACTCGGATAAAATTTAATTTTAGTTCAAAGAACCATTTGGGATTGTGCCATGCCTAGAGGAGGAGACAACCCCCCGGCCCCCTCTATTTTGGAACCATTTGATTCCTGCATTGTCTGAAACATGACTTTAGTTCTTGTTGATGATTTAATAGAACAATTGTCAAGAGTTTCCAAATATTAAGCATTGTAACAGCACCGTACATGAACAGCGGCTCCCAATTGTTGTCTGTGCTCTCTCTCTCTCTCTCTCTCTCTCTATCTTTCTGTATGTCGC